GCGCGCCAGGTGCGTGGCGGCGCGGCGCAGGCAGGCGGGCAGCGCGCGCGGCGCCAGCAGCGCTCCGTCGTACACACACACACACACACACACACACACACACACACACACACACACACACACACACACACACACACACACACACACACACGCACACACTCACAGCTCGGCCTGCAGCCTGCTGCGGCGCGCCAGGTGCGTGGCGGCGCGGCGCAGGCAGGCGGGCAGCGCGCGCGGCGCCAGCAGCGCTCCGTCGTACACACACACACACACACACACACACACACACACACACACACACACGCACACACTCACAGCTCGGCCTGCAGCCTGCTGCGGCGCGCCAGGTGCGTGGCGGCGCGGCGCAGGCAGGCGGGCAGCGCGCGCGGCGCCAGCAGCGCTCCGTCGGCCAGCACGCCGGCGGGCACGCCCACGTGCACGCGCACCAGCCCGCTGCGGATCGCGCTCACGCACACTACGTTCACTTCCTGCCGCCGCCACGGCAGACCCGTCTCGCAGTATCGCAGCAGCTCGTCTGACCACACAATTATTTTCAAATTATGCCTCGTCGCACAGGTCTGGTGATACCTTCATTAAAGTACGCGCGAAATCGGATACGCCAGTTACATTAAACCATTGTCTATTTTGTAAGAAATATCCACATAACTTATAGCGATGTCATCATCATCATTACAGCCTTTCATAAGTCCACTGCTGAACATAGGCCTCCCCCAAGCAATGCCACAAAGCACGGTCCTGAGCCACCTGCATCCATCAACTTCCTGCATGTCTTACCAGGTCGTCACTCCATCTCGTGGGGGGTCGCCCTACACTTCGCCTACCGGTACGATGCTGCCACTCGAGAACCTTTTTTCCCCATCGGTTGTCGGTTCTTCGAGCTATATGGCCGGCCCACTGCCACTTCAGCTTACCAATCCGTTGGGCTATGTCGGTTACTCTGGTTCTACTGCGGATGTACTCATTACTAAGTTCATCACGCAGAGAAACCCCGAGCATAGCCCTCTCCATAGCTCGCTGAACGACCTTGAGCTTCCTCATACGGCCTACAGTGAAGGACCACGTCTCAGATCCGTAAGTCATCACTGGCAACACGCACTGGTTGTACAATTTCGTTTCATATAGTATATAATAAGGTTTTGAGGTATGTCTGACGAGAAGATGTGTCGTAGTTTCCCGAACGCTGCCCAGCTGAGTTGAATTCGTCGATTGACCTCTCGGTCGAAGTTGGACTTACCTAGTCGGACTACGGACTGGGAGACACTATTGAGGTCATTGAGCATGGTGCTTAGGTCCTCCAGCGATTCTGCCATAAAGACTATATCGTCGGCAAATCGAAGGTGAGTGATGTACTCGCCATTGATGTTAATACCGTAACCTTTCCAGTCCAGAAGCTTCAAAACGTCTTCCAATGCAGCAGTGAAGAGTTTCGGGGATATAACATCACCCTGTCTTACACCTCTCTGCAATTGGATAGGTTTCCTATTCTGGTTCTGTACTCGGATAGCCATCGTAGCTCTACTGTACAAACACTTCAGCACTTCGATATACAAAGTGGCAAATTGTACTCTTCGGACTTCTGTACAATTTGCTGAAGGGTATGTATGTGGTCTATGGTGCTAAAGCCCTTTCGGAAACCGGCTTGTTCGGGAGGCTGGAAGTCGTCAAGTCTGTGCGCGAGACGATTCGTAATGACTCTCGAAAACAGCACGTAGACGCGGCTCAGAAGGGAAATCGGTATGTAGTTCTTCAAGAGTGCGTTGTCACCTTTCTTGAAGAACAAGACCACCGCACTTCTGCTCCACGCCTCTGGTGTAATGCCACCATGGAGGACAGAATTAAAGAGCTTCCGAAGGACTTCAAGTACCGGTCTTCCACCCGCTTTCAGATGCTCCGCTGTAATTCCATCCTCGCCTGGGGCCTTGCCGTTTTTAAGGTGCTGGAGAGCCATTCTAATCTCGCTCCGACTGACGTCCGGGATATCTTAGGAATAGTGTCGGATAAGACTCGCTCTTGGATCGTTACTCACACTTGCGTGTGGCTCCAACGATGACGTGTAAAGCTGCCACACTCGGTCTTCAGCTTCGACAGTTGCCTTTTTCTGGCAAACAGATCTCTGGCAAAGACTGAAGCCTTGTTTCTGCTCGATCGCTTCTTCAATACAAGCTGTATTGAAGTTGCGTAAGTCCCGCCGCATGCATTTGGAGATCTGTCTGTTCAGTTGCCTGTATGCTGTCAAATCTGTTGAAGAATGTAGCTTCATCTTCCGTCTAACAGCCATGAAATTGAGTGTGATCGGAGAGTTTCTGTGTTCTTCTGTGGCGGGTCTTACAGAACTTAGCTCCGACCGCATGGACAGTTTCCACGAACTTGTCATTCATATCGTCCACTTTATTGCAGTCTTCTAGGCACTGAAAACGGTTTTGTAACTCGAGCTGAAAGGTTTCGGGACTTTGGAACAGAGCACGAGGGGGACGGAGCGTTGACTTTATTAGAGGAGACCTCTCCAACTTAACGTTTAGGTTCAGTGTGCCTCTAACCATTCGGTGATCGCTACCAGTTTTCACCCTCGCGATCACGGGGACATCACTGAACAGTTGTCGTCTGGTCGTCATAATGAAGTCAATCTCATTTTTTGTGGAACCGTCGGGGCTCGACTAGTTCCACTTCTTGTGGGGCCGCTTCTGGAAGAAAGAGTTCATCATAAAGAGTCCCTCTTTCTGAAGTCGGCGAGCTGCTGGCCCCTTGGGTTCCGTTGCCCTATTTCAAATTTCCCTACTTTCAGCTCACCGTTCTCTCTTGTGCCTAGTTTCGCATTGAAGTCTCCCATTAACACCGTATATTGGGTTTTGGAGGAATGCATGGCTCTAGAGATATCCTGCTCATCATCGGGGTGTATCGAGGTTGGTGCGTAAACCTGTATGACCTTCAGCGAATACCGTTTGGTGATTCTGAGAGACTTGTGGACGATAAATCCGACACCTCCTTGGGACAGATGGTCGCCCTCCCGGTGATAGAGCAAGTTGCCGGATTCGAGGATTACCGTGTCCTCCCCCTCTCTTCGGACTTCGGATAATCCTATAATATGCCAGCGTAACTTGTCTATCTCTTCTTCCAGCTCCACGATCTTCTCGTCAGTCCTCAGGGTGCGTGCGTTGTATGTTGCAGGGGGGTATTTGCCATAGTTGCCACGCTTGGCGAGCGGGTTGGCAACCGCAGTTTTTTTTATTGTAAGTTTGTTGTTATCAGGAAGATGCTGCTGCCCATCTCCTGCCTGTTTCCCTTTGTCGCCTTTTACGACACCCACAGGAAGATATGGGATAGTGGCTATTCTTAACCGCTACTTCACGGCACGAACGGATTATAGCGATGTAATCGTTTTAAATTAACCTTCAAGATTCTAAAAGCCGAAGTGCGATATGTATATCCACTACATTTTTTACAGTTTTTAGCTAAAAATAGAGTAGATACATTTTTTATACGGAGGGTAGTATGAAGGAGAATAAATTATTTAATAAGAAATATATAAAATACGTCTAGGTTTCACATGTACAGAATGCCCGATAATTAATGGACAACATTGAAATTTTAATATTTAGATCATTTTATGTGTGTGAGTATATTAATATTAACTATTGGCCATTCAAAACAAATATACCAAAAAATAACCCAAGACATAATTTCCAAAAAATTTATTAGTTTTTTTTACAAATTTAAAATTTTTGTACGCCATTTATTTAATTTATAATATTTATATTTATTTATTATTTATTTTAATAGGAAACTAAATAGCATTTTTTTTAACAAAAACACTTATAAATATACAGGTAATGATTTGAAAAGGAAGGATACACCCATCTAAACATTTTACTAATACCTTTTTCATACAAGCAAAAGTAATACCATCTGTCATAACACATACGAACTACATGAGTTCCGCGTTGCATTGGTCGACGACGTCACCAGGGCTGAATTTCGAAGTATAATAATTATTCATAGGGTGTAGTATGTAGTATCGTAATAAATAAAATAAATAAAAATACATTTATTTCTCAATAATACTATTGCATTTAATTAATTAGTGGTGAAAAAACCCCAGAGAGTAATTTAATTCCTCATGTTGGGGTGTTTCACTCTTACCTTTGTGCTTAATTTTTATACTGTGCCACTACACTATGCGAAAATACCATAATTTTATCTTCAGGTTGACCGAATTGTATTATTGGTGGTCTTTTTACTTTTTAATATTTACCCTACAATATCGAGAATTTCTGTATGTTCGGCAACACTAAATCCTGACTTGCCTGCAACGACAGGGTAGGCGGGAATTCATCATGTGATGTTTTACTATCCCAGTCGATATGACAGAGACGACATCTTGTTCATAGCAATATTTTTGAATCTTATTTCAAATAAAAACAAATACGCCGAAAAATTAAACGTATAGATACGACACACGCGTGACGCAAAAACCCCGGCGCATGGGGAAAAACATGAAACGTCAAACGTGGTATAATTTTGGAAAAATAGTAAGTGTTCGCGCCAAACGCTGTTGTCGGAATCGACGTCTAGGGAGCCCGCGGCTCTGGGCCATACCGGTTTTTAACGTCGACCGAGCGGTGGGCTGAGAACGCTTAAAGGCGAAGGAGTCGTCTGCTAGCTGTGCTAATGTCTGCACGCTGTCAATTTTTGTTACGGAACTCGGAATAATTAGGCGCAGCCCGTAAATATACGGTCTAGGATTTTGTGACGCGCATTCCTGCTGGAGAGCTTCCCAGGGACTCATTGTGTCCGACTCAGAATCTGCATAGGTGCATTCGGCAATATTAGCTAGTGCGGCCGTTAATATTCTAGAACTAACTGTTGCTACGCGAAACGGTAGTGACCTTTGATCCGTAAACTCCGTGTGCGTTTTGTGCGTTAACCTTATACCCAGCGATAGTTAGTGGCTTCTGTAAGTTAGTTAATCGTAAGATAGACTGAATTGACTGTCATCGTGACGAACGAGGAAAGTGACTGTGGACAACGCCTCGGAAGGCCCCCTCAAGTTGGAGCGGTGTCGACGCTCGGGCTGCTGCCGACGGCCAAGGTCTAGGTTCAATCACCATCAGTCACACCCAGATACACATCACATCACCTGATTTCCCTTTCACTACACAACCACATGTGGCCTGACCGACTCCGGAACGACCAGTCGCCTTGGATATAGGTAAGTAAGCTCCGCCTAATTCCTCTGCCGGTCGACTGGCCGTAGTATAGAACGCTCCCCCATATAATTTAGTGTAATTAGAGAAATTCCACGTGGCCACATTGAGGCTCGACCTACGTCTGCTCGGGAAGTCTTCTGTTCATGGGCCCCGGAGGATTTGAACCTTTAAGGGAGCAGCCGTAGGCCGTAACAAACTGGTAGCAGAGCGTGGTTCCGGGTTCGATTCCCCGGTCGATCCCGACCAGTGTTTGATAAAAATTAAACAATTCTGGTGGCAGAGAGCGTTGGTTTGATTGGTTTAATTTGTG